AAATTATTTGAAATAGAGACAGTTCTTTCTCCAATAATAGTGGATTTACTACCATTGACTTTGGAAATACTTTTTTGTGAGGAAGGTTTAAAATTTGTAATCTGTCTAACATCAAAAGTCACATGATCAGAACACGTAGAGTCAATTATCCATGCATTATTCAGAATAGTAGATGTGCTTATTAAAGCCTTACCATTGGAATCATCACTACTTACGATTGTAGCAAGCATCATGCCTTTGTCATCCTCTTTGTCAATGGCAGTTACAACAACAACAATTGGATTTCTTTTTTAATTCTTCTTCGATACTCGACTATGATCTCACCACTCAGGGTATCCTATAATTTCATAGTATCGTTCCTTGGTGTGTTCATCCTTATTACACTGAGTACACTTGTAGTTACCTTTTTCAAAATCTTTTGATTGCTTCGATTTGCTGTGATGATTTGTTGGCTGCTTCTTTATCATCATAGCTATGGAATCATAAATCATATCTTTTGTTTTCAATGTTGTTCACTGGACTGTCTCTCTCCGGATTAATGCATAACATTCTTCTAAATCAGGTGTCACTTCCTTGCGTAATATTTCTGCATGAACTTGCTCAAAATCATCATCCAGTCCAGCAAGGAATATATACACCCTTAATCTTTCAATGGACTTCTAATATGACTTCACATCATCAGGGTCTTTCATGACTACTTTGTCACGATAGTCCAATTCCCTAAAAATCTCAACCAACTCCCTAAAATATTTGGTTAAGGTTCTATTATTTTGTTTTGCAGTGAATGTCCTTTGATTTAGGACAAACACCTGTGGCTCATCACTTCCATCATAAAATATCTTTGACAAAGTATTCCAAATATCGAGGGCAGTGGGTAAGCGAAGATACTTTTTCATGATTTCTGGCTTCATGAACATCAATAGCTATCTTTTCACTTTTTGGTTTTCAGCATACCATTTTTCATATCCCTCATCATTATCTATTGGAGGCTACACCTTCCTACAGATGTAGGACAACTTTTCTCTCTCTGCAATGTGCATCTCCATTAATTGTGACCATAAGTCATAATTGGATTCATTTAGGATGATGCCTACGTTAAAGACACCTTCAGATTAAACAACTATTGAAATTAGTTTTTCTGTCATCTCTCCAGTTAAGATCTCCAAGGATTTAGAAAGAAAAAGAAAAAAATTATAAGTTCTGATACTAAATTGAAAAACATAGAATTCATTCTATAATTTTTATTCATATTATTTTTGTACACAGATACTATGATCTTATAGTATTTTACTCCAATAAATCAGGACTAAATAAAGAAAGTTCTAATTATACAATATTATGTACCGTTATACAAACCTAAAATTTAGCTAATCAAATATCTTTATTCCAACAAGGACAAACACCTATTTAGAAAATTGGAGAAATATGAGAATGGTCATATGTCATTTGGATATGGCTTAGATGTTTCAATAAAAGGCTGTTGCACTGCTTGTTTTTTGCAGAAGGATGACCTAGTCGGGTCGGTCCAATATGTGTTTTATGTTCCAGATCTAACGAGTAATATTTGAGTGTGAGATAGTTGATGGAGAGAGAGGACACTCGATTTACATGAAAGACAAAGTACTACAATTGAATGATCGTTTGGAAGGTTGATTGGCTGAGTAGAGATGAGGAAGAATAGGATGTACAAGTTACAGTTGAGAAGCATTCAGGAGAGGAGTCTGAGATTAAATGTAGAGGACACATTGAAAGAAAATTACCGATCTGGTCACATGCATTTTTTTTATTTAACCGAGTTGATTCATGATGATAATCATGATATTGTTCGAGTTGGTGATGCAAGTGAAAGAGATTGAGTAGGGCAAGCTTATGTACTACTAGCTGTTATTAGATTGGAAGGAGAGGAGGTCATGCATGATGAAATTTGGCGAGCTGAAAAGGATGATAGAGTTTGAGTTGTTACACCACCTGTAGTAACAAGTTCGGAAATTGAGGAGGAAGAAAATTGAATCGGTGAACTTGAAGAACAACATGAAGAGCATAATGCTTGGATTGTCGAGTATGAAAGAGAGAGTTTGCAAATGAGTGGTCGGTAAAAAGGTGAGGATTATACTTCAGAATAATGTTGAATATAGAGAGAAATCCTAGTTAAGTTCAAGTAATAAATTTCAAATTGACTATATATGAGCTCTTATTGAAGAGAAAATTTGAGTTGTTATGGATGAGAAATGTCAAGTTAGAGAATACAATGATACATTGGTGATGACCAAATTACCGAGCTATGCTCAGCCTATTGGTGTGAAACATGTTTTCAAGAAAGACGAGAGATATGACCGAGGTGTTAGAGTGAAGCAAGTGAATATCAAGTTGACACTTTTGGACGATGTGCTCAAGGAGAAGGTGAATGATGAACAACCACTCGAATACGTGAAGAAAGACGAGGAGGAGTCGGGAATATGTTTGTCCCAAGAGGCGTATGCAAAGGAGATCTGAATAAGTTCAAGATGATCAATTGCAATTCGGTATCAACCTCCATGAAAACGGGAACGAAGTGGTCAAACAATTACCAACTTGTAGTGTACTTGGATAGTGATTGGTGTGGAGATGTGAATTATCGAGATAAAGGATATAAGGAACTTGAGGTGCTTAGGAAGATGACAAGTCAGTTAGTAAAAAACTCGAAAGTTTAGAGTCCAGGATGTTTTGAAGGCTAAGAAGTTTTGAAGTACAACAAGTCAGTAATTGGGAGATCGGTCAAGCCCATCTAGCAAATTGTCGAGTTAGGAAGTCTGTGTCAAGTTGATCTCATGTTTTGAAGTTCAAGGAATTTTGAAGCTAGTCAGGAGTTGGGAGGTCGGTATCATATCGATCTCAAGTATTCTTAGATGCAGGTAATTAACTTTACAGAAGGTTTTGTTATGATAAAATTAATAATTGATTGAAGAATGTTTATTTGGTGTTAAAATGTTTCTGATAATTAGATAGTTTTTAAACATTTAGAAAGTGATGTTGTTGAGAACTATTATTATAGAACGTTTTATATTCTAGAAAATTATTGTTTTGAATTTTGGAGAATTCTCGAGAATATTTAAATACATAACTGTAATCTTGATTTATGAAAAAAAATCAACAAAAAGTTAATTTCTCATAAATTTTGTTATATAAAACATAAAATAACAAAAATGAGAGCAAACATATAATAACAAATTCGAAATTATAACCAGATAATCGCCTATTGGTTCTCGTTCGGATTCATATCTAGAAAGTTTTTCGGGTCCCTTGCTGATCGAGACTAAAATTCCAGAAATTAAAAATGTCCAAATAAGAATTAAACTTGATATTATTATAATTGTCCAAAAAATATCATATTAGTAAAGAACAAATATAAAAGTACTCCTCTAAAATATATAAAATATACCGAATTGTGATGGTTGGACTTTAGAACATGTAATGATCTGATTCAAACAATTCTTTGTTTGTTGTTTTCTAGTGTATATGGATGGAAGTCTTGGGAATATGAGGATGAAGAATGAAGGATCAAGATAGGGAACTTCATTTGACAATCTTTTGATCCAAAATGACAACATCAATATTTCATACGAAGTTGTCCATTAATAAGATAAAAAAAACATGTTCAAGAAGAAGTTTCTTAATGTGTTAAAAGAAGCCAATAAATTAACCGTGGAAATATCTTAGAAGACACCTTAAGCCTCTAATTTTAAAATGCATTTTGATCATGTTATCTTTATTTTTTTTCTTTTCTTTAGAAATCCCTGTATAAAACACTTAACACATTATATGTAATATATTTTAAAATTAAAGGAACGAAAAAAACATGGAATTAAAACTAAATTTTAGCTATTTTAGAGAAGTAAAAAATATAAATATTACCCTTAAATTCACTATTCTTCATTCTTAGTGGTTAAGTATCAATTATGGAAATTAATTGAGTGATTACATATTGGAAATATTAACTGTGGATTTGAAATACATGCATTTAAGAAAGAGAATGGTGACTTTGTGTTGAATGTATTATTTACATGATAAACTATTAATTATTTGTTTAGAATCAAACTCAAGAATAAGAATTGAAAAAAAAAATTGTTCTTTTGGGAAGGCAGAGACACACGTGAATGCAATTACTTTCTGCTCTTCCTCTCATCTACCCCCGACAAATGTTATTCAAACTTTCCTTTACTCTTCAAAATATCTTCACTATAATATTCTTTTATTACCAAAACGTAAAAATTTATAAGAATCAGAATTTATAATGTCTTGTAATTAACCTATATTAAAGAACCCAATACACATAATAATTCATACTTTTGATTACTTAAATCAATTTTTTTTCAATATATTTTAAAGTAACTAATTTGAAAAATACTAAATTGAGAATAACTATTAATAATATGGTAATCAATACTATTTATAAAATATTTAACATTTGAATAGAAATAAATTAAAAATAAGTATAGTATAGTATATATAATTTAATATTTACTTTTTACCTTGAAATTGTTAATATAAAATAAAATTATATAAGAAATATACATTCTGCTTATTAAAAGAAAAAAAAACATTTTTATATTTTTTTTGTAGTATGTGTCTTTGTTATTTTTATTTTCAAATTGATGAATTCAATATCTAAACTTAATATTTATTGATGATTTTTATCTTTAAAAAAATAAATTTATGTAATATTTTTTAAAACGAGTAAACTTACATGTATTTTGAAGTGAAAAATACATATATCTTTTTTCTTTAATTAACAATGGTGTAGAAAAGCGTTTTGCAGAAAAAAAAAATATGTTAGTTTTGAGAGTAAAGATGTGAAGAGTGATTTATTGGAGAAAAATAAATTGATTTACATGTAGTAGAAGTGAAGGGATGAAGCCTAACTAAGCAATGAAGTAGTAGATTGATGTAAAGTGACTGAGAGAGATGGAAGTGGAAGTAAGACTCTAGAATGAGCCTAATTATTAATTTATGAAAAAAATTGACTATCCACTCTTGCTTTTCATGGTTAGGATGGCCTCGAGAATGGGATAACTGAGAACCATTACATAGGTGACTAGGAAAAGTTGACCAAACATTTCTTCAAAATCCTTCACATGCAATACTCTCCATATCCCACCAAAGAAGCCAACAATGTTGATTATGAGTAACACAACCAATGGAGCCATGAACACAGCTGCACCTTGGAAATCGAACCTTCCTTCCTCGTATTTCTTCACCTTCTCTTTGTCAATGGCTTTGTTTGACAAGGTGAATTTCACCTTGTTCAGCCCCAACCTTTTCTTCACTGCATCTACGATTGCAAATATGCTCGTCACCGACTTCAGAATCCAAATTCTTTGTTCATCCCACCACATTGCCACAGACCCTTCTCCAGAAAGAACCTCAACCAAATGTTGAACCTGAGTGGATACATACACAAATGCAAACACTGCAAACCAAGGGTCTGTCACCTGTGATAACATGAACAAATCCAACCATCTCATCATTTTCTATTCACTCAAAAACATGCTGTAGAGTAGTGGAATGTTTGTATTGGAAATATATACCTTTGGGAAGACAGAGATTCCTTTGAGGAGGCATACTTGAGGTACAATGCCATAGAGGATGAAGACAACAGCATAGAGGGATGACATTGTTATGAAGCAATAAGTGAAGGCATGCATTATGGGCATGGTTGAAAATCCATGTGTGAAAGGACTGTATTTGGAGATACCAAGCAAGAGAAGTTCAGACAACCACTTAACCAATTGGAGCATTCCTTCCTTTATGTCAGTGGGGGCACACCCTAAGAAACATGGTGTTTTGGGGTAAAGATAAACTGATCTCCATCCTCTGGTGTGGAGAATATACCCAGTTGCACTACTCTCTAGTAAGATCACATATGAGAATCCCACCTGCGTATACCAACCAAATTTACATTTGCACACTCATCAATCTTTCTCCATAAACATCTAATTAAGATCAATTGAGTTCTTAATATCAACACTTGCCTCTCTACCCCATTTTGTGTTGTTTTCGTAGGAACAGGTGGACACAGCTAGAGCTTCTCTTAACCTATCTTCTCTTGAAATGTTCGTTTTGGCAGTTTTCTGTCCACGGATGACCTTCAATGATTCAATGAACCCAGCAGAGTTGCCAAAGTACTTTTGTGCATCTAGCAGGTAGTCATCTACAATCATAGATTGATAAATAACACACAAATTGGCAAATTAGATATAACTTCTCTAGCGTAATGTAAAATAAAATATAAAAAACTATATATCGAGGCCAATTGTTCGTACTTTTTTGGTTAGGACTTCCAAATAGTAACGCACTTCTACTCAAGTAATTGCCACTGCCAGAAAGACCAGGACCTCTTAGTCCATCCATGCCTTGCCACATTGTCTAAAAGAAAGAGTAAAATTTCATGAGACAAATGATGAAATAAAACAGTTAAAGGAAACTAAAAGGGCCAAACAATGGTTTAATGGCGTGTACCTTAAAAGCAGTCCTAGTTTGACTATCATAGATGTCCTTTTTGCTAAGGTTGTGAAACATTTGAGGGAATTGAACAAATGCAGTAGTTTTGGAGGTGTGAGGATCAAGGAAGAAGCACATGGCTTGTTTGGCAGAGGTTGGGTCATTGCAAAACATATCACAATCCACAACTAGAAAGTAAGGTGCATTACTGAGAAAACCCGAGACCCTGAGCTGCAACAACCACAATTGAAAAGTGCTGCATTGATTAAGCAAGAAACTCATAAAAGGGTAGAAATCAAATTGAATGAAATCCAAATTAGTACACACCAATGTGTTGAGGGCTCCTCCTTTGAACTTGTGAGGAAGGGTTGGTCTTCTTTCGCGAGACACATACACGACAAGTGGCAATCCCCGTTGGTCATTTATAATCTAAACACACACAAATTACCAATTACATTTTCCTCCTTCCCTTCAACTAACAAACAAAAGTTTTTCCTAGTTTCTTGAAACAACCATGAACTCACATGGGGTTTATACTTAAATAATTGTATAAATAGTTTATTCATAAATTTAACTATTATTCAACCCGCATATCTCTTCATTATATCTTTAAACTCACCAAATCTTTTGGAAAAGAAACATCAATGAGATTATTTTTAAAATAATTTGTACCTGAATTAAATCATCCAACAAATTTTTGCTGCTAGTTTATTTTTCCATATGATAGTCATATATTGAGAAAAGATAACATTTGAATAAGTTGACACTTTACGAGACTAAAACAAATATCATTAATTAGTTCCCTTATTTTGCATACTTTTCTAAAACAACATAATATTAATAAATAAATAGAGATTGTTTAATGAGAAATATGTAAATTATTAAAGGAATCAGTCAGGGAAGCGAAAAATGAAAAAAAATTATGAATAAAATTATATAAAAGAGATAGATTAATTGTATCTTAACTTATAAAAGCAATTAAGATTTAAAAATTAAATAAAAAAATTAATGAACTAAACGAGCGAAACTCTTTGTATATTAATAATAAATTAGATTTAATTGATGTTAGAGAGTGCTCAAAGCCTTTTATTAATTACATTTTATTTTTTAATTATATTTATTACATAGAAGATAACAAATTATTAAAAGTGATTTTGTATAAAAAGAATATTAAGATAATAAGAATATTAATAAAAAAATTAACAAATTTATTAAAATTAATAAAAATTAATTTTTATCAAGTGTCCAACCTTTATCTCTAAGTAGTTTTAAGCCTTAATATTGTATCACTCACATTTCATTAATTTATGAATTTTGTTATTTAAAAACTTTTTTGTATTATTATACCCTTAAATGTTTAATTTTTACATGTTTACCAATCCCTTCAAAAAAGTTCTAACAAAAATCTAAAATATATTATTTTATTATGAATTTTGGAAAAGGAATTTGATTTTACTTTGTGAATTTTTTTTTAATTGCGTTTGTAACTTAAAGAAGGTAGATAAAAATTAGTAGTAAAATGAATGGAAAATGATGATGGTGAAACGTAAAATATTTAATTAGGTTAATTTTAGTTATGCAAGTTTGTGTTGAAAATTGAGTGTTGACCAAGGAAAGCCAAAATACATATTGACACAAAACAAAGATGAGAAAATGGACAGAAATGTAAGTAGTGAAGACAAAGATGTTGCTGTCTTCAAGTACCATAATCGTACCTCAATACGAGGAGCCCTGTCGCTCACAATACGAAGATTCTCAGGATCTGAACCAAATTTCTCTATGTTCTTCTGCATTTTCTCGTATTTAGTCTGTAAAATAACAAAAAACAAATATTAACATTTCTATGACTGATTAAATTCAAAAGTGATGAAAGTAAGTATGTTGAAGTTTTATTTAATTATTGTTAATCTCAAGCATCCATACAAATAATTATTCATTATTTTTAATTTTGAGATTAAATATCCATTTTATTTTATTATGACTTCAAACTTTCACCTCTTTCTCTGTTTTATGTCTTTTTTGTGTAAATTTTCTCCATTTATTTTTAAAATAAAAAAGTAACATTTATTTGTTTGATTAAATTTAAAAGTAATGAAAGTAAAATATATTTATTAGATAATATATAAATTTTATTTAATCTAAAAAATTGATCAAATAAAAAAAGTTAAAATTATTACTTTGAATTTCAAGTGATCAAATCAGGTCTTAAGTTAAAATTTTTCCATCCCTACAAATATTTAGTAATTAAATATTGGAAATTTTGAGATTACATGTCTATTTTACGGGACAACTTTAATTTTCAGTTTTCTGTCTGTTTTATGTTTAATTAAAAAAATCTCAACCTGAGGTGACGAATTTAACAATGGCACGTGAGCCAATCCCAAGCATGACTTTCTTAACTTTACGTAGACATTTTATGATAACTTGAACAGCCTTAAGTCTCGAATAGTGATGAAGAAAGTACGTAGTAAGAAGAGGAAAAAGGTACCTTCATGAGGTGACATTGGGCCTTGAATTCCTCATCGCGAAGGTGTTCATCTTGTCCCATGGGAGAGAAGAAGACCTTGGGACACCTCAACTTCACTCCATACTTTCTGCAGAAGGGGACCCAGTCCCTGGCGAACTCACTGGCCTCTCTGATAGCATACAGCGTCACCGGACATCCACCGTCGTCGGAGAGATACACGGCGAGCTTATCGGAGGGGTAGTCCATGGCAATGGAGGAAACGACGGTGTCCATGACCTGCAGGGTGGGCTCCTTCTCAGGGTCGAGGGTGCAGACGAAGATGTCGAGGCCCGGCAGGTGGTCCTCCCTCGGGAGCTTGTGGGTGAGGGTGGTCCGGGAGACGGGGTGCCAGCGGAAGGCTTGGTTGAAGAAGCATAGCATGGAGAGAATAATCTCGGCGAGTGTGATGAGGATCCACGGCGCTGTTGGTGGTTGGAGTAGCAAGTGCGATATGCGATAGTAACAGAGGGACACCACTGCGATTAGGTGGATGATTATGTGAAGCCTGCTTAGGGCCAACCATGCTTGAACCGTTTCTACGTGGTATGTGAAGCTTCTCATCTTCCTTTCTTTTCACTACCACTCCTCTTCTCCACGCCATGCTTCCATTCCTTTATATGCATATATATCCCTCTCCCTTTCATCACAATGCTTCATGCACAAACCTTTTTCTTTTTTTTTTCTTTAAAAAAAAATAAAAAACATCCAACCACAGTCTTCTTTTCCTCGGTTCCATTAGAATATGATTAAATAAGTCGTGTTGTTTATTAATTAAAAACATCCGAAAAGAAAAAATAAACTGAATTAATTTTTTGTCGTAATTTTACAAATTAATGCGACGGCCATATTGTAGTTATTACGAATAATTTGATAGTTTATAAAAAAAAAAAAGTTAACGAGTACGTACATGAAGTGTTGACATTTAGAATCGATGTTCACGTGGGACTTGGAAAACATTATTTTTAAACCCATCGCGAGGACCTCGTTCCATCATTATTTAAATGTGAGTGACAAATGTGGTTGCCGCGTGGGCTTTTTTTTATACCTTCCTTTTTTAATCACTGTATGCCAATTCATAACACTACTCTGTGTAATCCTAATTTATTATTTTTTTTATAAGATCTAAGAAAAATATTTCAATATTATTATTATTATTATTATTATTATATTATGTATAAGGATGCAAGTTTAAGAGCATAATAAAACCATCATATAAAGTTACCCGTGACAGGACCAAACAATAAAACGAAAACTTACACATCATTAACTAATAAAAACCATTGTTGACTTGACTTTTAAGTGTGCATTATAAAAACCATTAAAGAGGCCCAGGCCCAAAGCATGTAAGTGGGCTGCGGTGAATGTCCCAGCTAAGAGAAGTGTGTGAATAGAATAAATACAAGTATAAAAAATATGGAGGAGGTTCAGTGGCTTTCATCAAGTCATTCACACGCTTAAATCTCTAATCCAAGGTTCTTCTCAATTGTGGAAGGGACGTTTGTCTATGGAATTCATTTTAAAATATCAATATTTTGTATAAAAATGAAAATATTAAGATATATTTTTATTTTTTAGACGTTGTCTGTTTTAAAATTTTGGTAGGATGATTTTATTTTTAAAAGACATTTCAATAAATAAGAGAAGAATATATAAATTATTATCTCAACTTCTAAATTATGAGTGTATTATATTATATAATATGTAGTGAAATATATTTTGGTGCCTACGTATTTTCAAATTTTTTTATAAATATAGCAAGTTTTTAAAATTTTAATTCACCACTTATATCACTAAAATGCATAAATATAAATTTAAATGCCCTTAATTTCTTTTCCTAGGAAAAAAATAAATTATAAGTATAATTTGAGAAAATTTTAGAAAGTGTAATTATAATTTAATCACATATTTATTACAAAGTAATGACATGAATACACTAGTATGAAAATCAAACAAAACATGTCAGTTTAGCCAGTTAAACTGAGAACCAAATTAAAGACCAGATTTTAAATTGGTAGAATTTTTTGGTGAAACCAGTATTGGTAAAAAAAATTATGATCAAATTTTTTATAAAAATTATAATATATATATATATATATATATATATGTATATATTATCTTTTAAATAATAATTATTTTATTATATTTTTATCTTATATTAATAATGGTTCATCTTTTTTTTAATATATTTTACATTTATAATTTTTATTATAATATAATAATAATTTTTATTATTATTTTTTTATAAAAAATATTAGTATTAATAAATTTTTTATATTATAAAAATATTATTTTATTAGATTGGATTGAACAAACCAGTGTATTTACGGTAGATTTTAAAAACATAAATATATCATATTATATATTAATCTCATATTAATTAAAAATAATTAAAAAACAAATTTTATGATATATTTAGATTTATTATAAATTAAAAAATTAATATAAATTATTTTGAGAAATTAAATGATCTTTGTACTTTAATAATAGCATGTTGTTATATTATGTGTTAAAAAAAGTTCATATTGTATCTATTTAAAATGAAATGCTAATATTAAATTTGAAAAAAAAGTTTGACGCTAATATATAACTGAAATTGTTAGTATTTTTATTAGTTATATTATATTATTTTAGAAGCTAATATTATTATTTTCTATCATTGCCACACATCAAATCTTTATGATTTTTCTTTTAATATCTTTATCGTCATTTATTTTGGTTTGAGTTTTTACATGTTAGAAGATAATTAAATTCATTAACTATAAGAAAGTAATTATACTCACAGTACACCTTCTTTTTCTTTTTCTTTTTTTTTTTTGCAAGTCATCAAAATGCTATCTACATGTAATAAGAGCAAGTGATTATCAATGTCATTTTAATCATTTTTTATATATTTTTTTTATTTTGTTCATGGGATAAGTTTTCCTCTTATCTTTGCAATATTAAAAAAAAGTATACATTTAATTTATTATTGTATTCATTGAAAAATGAATATTTTTTTCCTTTAAAGTGCAAGCAACTTTATTTAAATTTTTCTAAAAAAAATACAACTATTTTTTATGTAGTGAGTCTTGTCTTGGTTTTAATATATTTTTTAAAATAAAATTATATTTTCATGTATACTATTACAAGTTTAATAGTAATTCATTTGATGGATGATTAAAAATAATTGTTGGTAAACTTTTAAGATAATTATAACAAAAGTGAAGCAACTTAATTTACTTGATGATGCTGTAAAATTTAAAAAAATTAAAAAATTCAGGACATGTATGATAATATTAAGAAAACAAGAGATTTTAGAGTGGAGACCACATCCCACCTAAGGTTTTGTTTTTTTGTCTGGATTCATTTGGAAACAATATTACATGTGTTGTTGCTTAAGGATCAGTACTATATAATTTTTGGTGATGAATGTTTGCTACTTAAATAAATTGTCATTTGTTTGTGGTGGCTTGTGTGACACATACATTACTCTGCCATAGATTTTTACTACAAATATTTTGTGATGGATTTTATGATACATTTTTGTGGAGAAAATTCATTGTTTCAAAAAATTTCCTTTGATAATACCCACAAAATTTATTAAAAATGTGTTATTGATGAATATTTGTGATGGTATAGAATTCCATTGTATCACAAAATTAGTTTTACATTATTGTAAAATTTTATCCCAAAACTAGCCACACGAATAACAAACTTGTATGTTTCAATATTTTTAAGTAATGGAGATTGTTAGTGAATAGCTTCTTTTAGTTTCTGATGTATTGCAGCCGCATTGTATTAGCCTATGTGTTGAGTCAGTTATGCTGATTCAGCTTTTTGTTGATGTATTAGCCCATGTGTTTATTAGTATTTTGTTAAATGGTAAAAGTTAATATAATAATGCTCTTAATTGTTATGTAATCACCTAAATATTATTGATTTTAATCTATTTTTCTCTCAATGTAGGATGAATTGGTAAAATACCTTGATACAAGAGCAAAGATCATAATTGTGAATATAATTGAAGAAAAAGTGAAAAAAAGAAGAAGATTTTCAACTGAAAATTCGCTCGACTGTCATCTACGCTCGTTTGAGCGAATATACGTTAAAGCTCTCGAGAGTTCACTCGCTCAAGCGCCTTCCATTCTCGCTTGAGCGAAAATATGACAAACCTCTTGGGTGTGCAATCGCTCAAGCGACACCTACTCTCGCTTGAGCGAAAATATGACAAAATTCTCGGGTTTTTACTCGCTCAAGTGGACATCTTTTCACTTGAGCGAAAGTTGTTGTTTTTCGCTCAAGCGAATAATGGATCGCTTGAGCGAATGATGCGATTCTAGACTCAATATTTCCTATAAAAAGATAAGACGTGTTTTGAGATGAAATTTTATATTTTTGGAGAAAAGGCGCGACTGATGTTTTGTTCTTCAAGGATTCTTCAATTCTTCCTTATTTAGAGCATTGTAATGACTACTATGAGTGATTAACTTCACTCTCTTAGGATTGGGTACATTTCCTTGGAACTCTTTTGTGTCATAGTGATATTTTGAGATATTAATTTATGTTTTGATGTTGTTATTCTTATCTTTTGTGCCTTGGAATGATTTATTCTTGATGTTTGGGATATGATTGGAAAATATATCTTGAAACCCTAGATCAGGTAAGAATATTTGTTATGTTAATTACTAGGAATGGAATGAATGTATCAAGTGCTTAACACCCTAAACCTAATGCTGAAAAATCTCTTAATAGTGTGAGGAATCGATGTTTATCAGGTTTTCTTATGAATTTCACATGCGAGGAATCAAAGTGAATGATTTGAGTAGGTGACACCAACATTGATAGGTTAATTGATATTCTTAATTTGGCCTAGCCATTATGCAAAAGAGGAAAAAGGAAGGAAGTCAATCCTAAATTCTTTTACGTGATATTTTCTAAATGCACTTTGCAGTTCATTGTCATTTATTTTCAACCCATATTTTTATGAAAAACCCAATTTGCTTTAATCCACTTAGTAAGCATATGATTTGGAATTTTCAGTGAAACCGTTCCTCGTTGGATCGACTTTTATTTAATCGAAATACTATACTGCGATTGATAATTTTGGTACGCTTGTCAAATATTCAACACATCTCCAAAAGGAGTTGCTACCAAGAATTGTTTAAGAATAAAAGTGAATATTTTATTGTGGGTCTCACATCTGAGTTGCTTAAAACTAGAGAAAATGGCTTAAAATGGAAGAAAGTTGTTTGTATAAGTAACTCTGACCAAGTTTAAGCAACTCAACTGTGGGATCGATAATAAAATATTTAATTTTATTATTACGCAACTCTTAGGAATGTTGTTTCTACAAGATGTTGTGCTTAACTTTTCAAAATTGTTGTTGTCACGTCGGATTGCTCCAACGACAGTTTCTTATAAGCATCGTTGCTTATAAGCAACTGAGGTCATAAGCAACTCCCGTTGGAGTTGCTCTAATGCTAAAATAAAGTCTGTACAAACAGATTGGGGAGGTGAAGTTCGTCCTTTACACAAATTTCTTACAGATCTTGGCATTATGCATAGAATCTCTTGTCCACACA